CCCTTAGTGACACACCTCCTTCAACAAGGTCACACCTTCTGATCTTTCTCAAACAAACAGTTCCTCCCACTGGGGATCCAGTACTCAAACATATGAGCTTATTTGGGCCATTCTCACTCAAACCAGTGCGGAAACCAAGCACAGCCGGCAAACACACTTGGTCAAGATGGTTTCAGTCTTTTATCCCTGACATAGGTGATGACTCATCCTCCATTGGTCAGAGCCTGACTTTGTAATCTTACAAAATTGGTTAATTGGCACAAAGAGGAAGAGAAGGGCCAGGAAATATGAGTCATTGCCAGGCCAGACCAAGTACCTTTGATAGAAAAAAAAAAAAACACCCATAACTTTAATAGGAAAAGACTTTCTCTTAAATTTCCCTTTTCTTTACAGTTTATTTTTAAACTTAGCCAGCATATGTTGATTATTTGAAGTCTCTAGAAAGAATAAATTTATTATTTTAAAAATATTAAATTTTATGTTAATGGGTGTTTTGCCTGTATGTCTGTGAATCACTTGCATGCTTGGTGGTAATAGAGACCAGAAGAAGACCTCAGATTCTCTGGACCTGAGGTTACACACAGCTATGAGCTGCCATGTGGATACTGGGAGCTGAATTCTGGGTCCTCCGGAACAGTGGCCAGTTCTCTTAACCTCGGAGCCACCTCGCCAGCCCCAGAGTAAATTATTGTTATGGTGAGTGTTGACCTAAGCATGGCTTAAGGTGAACTTGCCTTCACCTTAGAGTCATTTAGGAATGATCAGAGACCAGGGCCCCCAAACACTTTTGGCATATCTGGTCTCTGGCAAGGATGAGACCTAACAAAGAAACTGGGTGCTTTTCTTGAACTGTCTCAGTTGTCTACCCAGTTTTTACCTCTTGTTCTTCTTATGCCCTGCAAGAGTCATTACAGAATCTGGGAATGGCTGATTTGGCTTCTTCCAAATGAATTTGGGGTGTTTAGTGCGGCGGTTTTGGGGTATCTCTCCAAAGAGTGTATCTAAACTGTCAGATGTAGAGAGAAAAGGAAGTCCTTGCCTGGTGTCTGGAAAAAGATGTGAGAAGGAAGTAAAGGCAAGAGTTATTAGTTTATCTGAGAATCCAGAGAAGACAGAAAAGGAGATGTATCCAAATCAAAGCACATTAGAGCCTCTTGATGGGTGCATATCCATCTACTGGGCTCCTTCTCATTTTCCTGTTTTCCTGAGAGGCTGGACTCAGCAGTGACCCCAGGATCTGCTTTTCAGGCACTTTGGCAGTTGGTGGAGTGGCTAGAATCACAGTGGGTGGTCTTCCCAGATGGCTTCTAGAGAGGGAGAGGGAAACAATGTAAATATTGATTTAAATTTAATTTACTTGATTATTTAAATTATTTGATTTTTAGGTTAAAATAATTGAAGGCCTGGCGGTGGTGGCGCACGCCTTTAATCCCAGCACTCGGGAGGCAGAGCCAGGCAGATCTCTGTGAGTTCGAGGCCAGCCTGGACTACCAAGTGAGTTCCAGGAAAGGCGCAAAGCTACACAGAGAAACCCTGTCTCGAAAAACCAAAAAAGAAAAAAAAAAAAAAAATTGAAGGCAAATCTCCCTCTAGTGAGCACCTTAGTCTTTTTGTTTGTTTAAAAATAAGATTCACTCTACTAATATTTTGTGACAATAAAGCAGGTATCATAATCATAATAGATTTGCTGTAGGACATTTAACCATCACAGCCTCTGAAGATCCTGTCTACTGGTGTACTTATCCCATATAACCCTTAGTACTGTGAACACAATGCATAGTAATCTGATGAAATTCTGTAATTAAGTTGTCTTTAATAGAATATTATTCAGATAAGCATAGTGTAATGATAAAAACTCTGTTTTTAATTTTATTAGTATTTAGCAACACCGGGGGTCAAATCTAGGGCCTAGCAAATGCCAGGCAAAGGGCTTTATCAATCAACGATACCCCAGATATATTAACCCTTTAAAAGCACACTGGGGTGGCTTGAATGGGAATGTCCTCCATGGGTTCTGGCTTTTGATCATTCAATTCCCAGTTACTGGTGGTGTCTGAGGAGGCCTCGGCGATGTGGCCTTGTGGTGGGAGTGTCCCTGGGAGAGGGTTTTGAGAGCTGAAAGACTCTCATGTCTTTGAATTTGTTGTGTCTACTTCGTGCTCGCTGTTTAAGGGGCGATGTCTTCCATCCTGCCGTGCTTCTTGGCTGTGATGGTGGTGGACTCATCCCCCTGCAGCTGGAAGCCCAAATAAACTTTTCCTTTTATAAGTTGCCTTGGGCACGGTATTTTATCCTAGTAATGGAAAAGTAGCTAACACACAGGGTTTCCTTTGCTTTGTAGCAAAAGAGGAAGTCAGCAAGAGAGTCAACACATAGCACTCTCTGTTGCTAGCTAAGGAAGAGGGGGGTAGGAATGTAAGTGGCCTCATGAAGCCAAAAGCAATCCCAGGAAATGGGGAGGGGGGGTCTCAATCTAGAACCACAAGAAACTGAATCCTGCCGACAGCATTGATAAGGGATGAGGACTTCCTACAGGGCTTTCAAATGAGAATCCAGTCCAGTTGATCTCTTAGTTTTAGCCTGTGATACCCTGAGGAGTAATTGGGATATTCCTGGTAGAAAATTCTCACTTCAACACTGGGAGCTAATTAGCAGGTATTAAATGAAGTTATCCAGTCTGTTTTCTCTTTTCTATTCTCTCTCACTTTTAAAATGTGACCTCTCCATGTAACCTGGGCTGGTCTTGAACTCTTCTTGAGTGTAGCTGGGGTATAGGTATATGACACCACCTCTGGCCGTCTGTGGTAACTTGTCATGTAGCAGCAGCAGCAGCAGCAGCAGCAGCAGCAGCAGCAGCAGCAGCAGCAGAGTCAGGAGTCATGCGTTTTGTCTGACACCTTCCCCTACTTCTTCAGGCACACCTGTGACATCTTCCTGTCCACTGCTGTGTCACAGGCTACCTCTGCCACAGTGCACGTCACCCTGTGTTACAATGATCTCACCTTCTCTTTTTTTCCTTAAATTTGTTTTTATGAGTATGGATGTCGGACAGCATGCACGTCTGTGCACCATGCGCATGCCTGGTTCTCGCAGCGATCAGAAGGAGGTGTGGCATCACCTAGGACTGGAGTTACAGGCAGCTGTGAGCCACCGTGTGGGTACTGGGACTTGATACCGGGTCCTCTGCAAGAGCAGCCAGCGCTCTTAACCACTGAGCCACCTCTCCAGCCCCGACAAATTTTGTTGTTGTTGTTGTTGTTGTTGTTTTCTGAGACAGGATCTTACTATTCAACTCAGGCCAGCCTGAAACTTGTTACATAACATAGGTTGGCCTTCAGTTCTGAAGGATCCTGCCACTTCAATCTCTATAACGCTGGAACTATAAGGGTGTGTCACCACATCTGAACTCAATTTGTAATCATATATACTCAAATAACCAAAGAATTCAAGATTTAATATTTAAGAAGAAAAGTCACCGGTACAAAACAAACAACCCACCGTGCGTGGATTTGGGGATTGAATTCAGGTTGTCAGGCTGGTATGACCTTTAACCACCGAGCCGTCTCTCTGGTCCACAAAAAGACTTCCTTAGTTTTATGCATACGTAAGTTGGAAAGCCCTGCTTTTTTTTTTTTTTTTTTTTTAAAGATTTATTTATTGTGTGTATAATGTTCTGCCTGCATGTATGCCTGCATGCCAGAAAAGGGCACCAGATCTCATTAGAGATGGTTGTGAGCCACCATGTGGTTGCTGGGGACTGAACTCAGGACCTCTGGAAGAGCAGCCAGTGCTCTTAACCTCTGAACCATCTCTCCAGCCCATTTTTTTTTTTTTTTTTTCGAGACAGGGTTTCTCTGTGTAGCTTTGCGCCTTTCCTGGGACTCGCTTGGTAGCCCAGGCTGGCCTCGAACTCACAGAGATCCACCTGGCTCTGCCTCCCGAGTGCTGGGATTAAAGGCGTGCGCCACCACCGCCCGGCGGAAAGCCCTGCTTTTTAAGCAAATGGAATTAAACTGATTTACCACTTTGCTCTACGTATTTGGGACAAACATCCTTGTTTTTTTCTGTGGCTGATACCCCTGGAAGGAGATGCAGACCTTTTGATAGTACTGGACATTTGCTTCCTGGAGCCTGTGGTCAGGCTAGCTCCCTTGACAGTTGGGGGTCTCTTCTTATCCCTGGGCTTCGTGGGCCAGCTACCGTCTCTCTCCCGTCAGATGCTGAAGTGGAACCGTGGTCTGCGGCAAGCCGGAGAGGGGATCAGAAGGTTCTGAGAACCAAGGAGGAAAGGCACAGGAAATTGTAAGGGGTACTGGAGGGAGGGAGGAGATGGGGCGGGAGGGTGTTTTGCGGGTCTGAGTCTTGCAAAAAACCTCAGGGTGCAGGTCAATCTGTATTTTATCTCTTGGGTCAAGGAGGGAAGGGAAGGCTTTGGTGAAAGGGATCTCACTATCTTTTGGTCCCCGGGTGTGATATCAAGTCATCTCCGGTAAACTGGGAAAGTAATAACGTACTAGGCCAAGCAGAAAACGCTTAAAATTTAGCTTGCGACCCAGGCGGTGGTTTAAGGTCTGGGCAGTGATTTTTTTTTTTTTTTAAAGTCCTTTAAAAACTTGTGAAATCTGTCGAGGCCGACGGTTGCCAGGATGGGGACACGGTCCCTGCCTCTCCGCGATGTGGCTTCTCGCCGTCGGTCGGCGGGGGAAACCCTTTCGGCGCCTGTCTGACAGCCAACACTTTGCGCATGCTCAAAACTCAGGGTCTCCGCTGCGTGCGCACCCCGTCCGAAGCCTGGGAACGTCGCGCCGTCGGTGAGCCCGGCCTGAGTGGGCGGAGCCGGCTGTGCGGCGGCGGCGGCGAGCAGACAGTGCGCAGGCGCGCCTGCTCTCTGGCCTCCGCCGGGCGCGCGGATGCGGCGGGTTCCGCTCCCGGCGGGCCGAGGGGGTGCGCGCACACGAGCGAGCCGCCGTGACGTGCTCCGCCGTGCTACGCCAGACATCACGGGGCTCTGTGGAGTGGCGGCCCGGCTGTTCTCAGCCGCATCGCCTGGCGAGGGTGGCGCGGCGTCCGCGGGTCGTGCAGCCGGCGACAAAGACGACCCGCGGCGGACGACGATCCGGTTGGCAAGAGCCGCCGCTTCCGCTTCGCTGCTCCTCCGGCCACCGGCGACGCGGGCCCGTGGCTTCCTTCTCATCGGCCCAGCTTACCCCGCCGGCCCCGGGGCTGCAGCTCTCCTGAAGCCGTAACGAGGCCCCGGGCCGCGCGCCCGCTGCCCCATGTGAAGCAGGTTGGGCCTGGTCCCCGGCCCGCGCCCGGTTTCTGCTGCGGCCCTTCGGGCCTCGGGGGCCCAGTGAGGCGCCGCTCCTGGGGGGCGCGGTGACAGGCCGTGCGGGGGCGGAGGGGCCAGCTCGGTGGCCTCCTCTCGGCCCTCGGCTCCGCGATCCCCGCCCAGCGGCCGGTAAGTGCTTCTGGCTCAGCGTAGGACTGGGCCCTGGGACGGGAATTCCACTGCAGGGGGGTCGGGGGTGGGGGATAGCCCTGCTAGGCTGGAGCTGACCTCAGAACCTCCAGGTCAGTGCGACGGGGGCCGGGAAACTGTCAGACTCGTACTCCGCGGGAATTTTATTCTAACCGGAAGGTTGCAACCAGCTGATCGCAGGGAAGCTGGGACGGACGTGCTTTTTTTTTTTTTTTTTTTTTTTTTTTTGGCAGAAAAGTGCTTGCTTTGGGTTGTTGTTGGTGGTGGTAGGATGTTGACGAAGGTTGTTTCCCCTTATCTTGGAGCGGTCGGCCAGCTCTCGAGGTGCACATACTTGTGTGTCAACTCGTCTCGTCTTCCCAGCCCCAGTATGCAGTCTGTCAGCTTTACAGATGAAAAATTGAGGCTCAGCGAGATAATGGTTTAACTTCCCAAGGTCATGCAAGTGGTCATCGAGGAAGTTCACATATGCAGATATGTTTCTGTGAGGACTGTGTTTCTCCGTCTTGCAAAAATAAGTACGTTAGAGAATGAGATTGGCTGGAAAGTTTCCCCCGGTTGTAAATTCTAAACACCTAGCTAGCTAGCTAGCTAGCTAGCGTTTACACTTTTTGACTTACATTGTTGGATGCATTTGATTGCAGCCTTGTCCCCAGTCATTTTAATTTTCAAAGACATTGATTGTGAAAAGTGGCTCTGAGCATCCTTTTATGTGCTAGGGCTGTACAGAAAAAAATTATCATCTTATTGGACAGAAGAAATATACTTGATAAAACTTTCATATTTCTTGAGGTTATATTTAATTTCTGCATTTTGCTGTTGATATACAGGGAATTCACAGGTTATTTTATTTGTTTGAGAATTCCTTATTCCAAACTTTGTTGCCGGATTGTGTGGCAATACTTAGTGATTTTGCATTGTCTTATGCAGTATTTCGGAGTTTAATGTTAAAAGTCAATGTGTAGAATATTACAGAAGTGATCATTTGTTGGTGTGATTTATGTATCTACGCAAAATGCTACTAACCAGTTAATAAACTGACATAAAGTTCTCATTTTAGCACCATTTAACACTGTAGTGTTTGATTAGTGAATAAGCAGGGCTAGAGCCCTTTACAGAAGAAAGTGCTGATAAATTCCTATCGAGTAATCACGTAACTACAAATGCTCAGTTATAGTACTCAAATTTTACTAGTGTATTACACCTTGAAGGAAACTTGTAGTTGACTGTCTTTGTAATAACTGATAGGGAAGAGGTCACATTTACAGAGTTAACAGGTGAATGGCTTACAGACGGCTTTGTTATATGGTTAGAATACACACGTGTTGAAATAAGTTGAATTTGGTATTATTGTGGAGTAGTTGTCTAGTCATGCTCCTGCTGTGTCTGTTTTGAGAGAACTAGCTGTCAAGGGCTTATCTGAATTAATTACATATTAAGATTGAATCATTCAAGGGATGTTTTAGGTGGACTGTTGCTCCCTACTTGAAGCTGCCAAAGGGCACTGCACTGTGGTAGTGTGCTATGCTTTCTGCACGTGCATGTTTAGGTTGCTTATTTTCCACTCTGGAAAAGGAGCTCGCTAGGTCCCCTTTCTCCAGCTTTCTATCGTGAAAGCAGTTTGAGCATAAAGAAAATCTGTCAGTGGTAAACAGCCATGTGATGACTCTCCATTCACATTTGTTGATAGCTTGTTGTATTGACTTTGTTTGTAAATGTATATTTTTGTTGAACCATATGAAACTAAGCTGTTGACTTATGACACTTTACCCTTGATATGTCAGTGATTAGGGCACTTTTTCCATGGATAAAATACTGTTATTGTTCATTTTGTTTAACATGATTATTCCTTAGTGTAATCTTAAAAACAAACTTATGTGCTTGTGTGCATGGGTTGGTGCCCATGGAGGTCAAAAGAGGGCATCAGATCTCCTAGAACTAAAGTTACAGGTAGTTGTGAGCCACCATGTGGGTGCTGGGAACTAAACCTGGGTCCTCTGCAAGGCAGCCGGTGCTCTTAACTGATGACCCATCTCTCCAGTCTCTCCTCAGAGTAATCTCATGTTTATATCTCTCCAATTGTCCTGAAAGATCTTCTAGAACATTGTACACAGCCTTTCTTACCCAACCAGGATTTCATCAGAGTTTATTCTTGGCTTTTGTTTAACTCTTTTTGATTTCTTCTCATTTATACTACCCAGCTCCTTCTTATAAAATGATATTGCAGAGGGAGAGAGAGAGAGAGAGAGAGAGAGAGAGAGAGAGAGAGAGAGAGAGAGAGAGAATGAATGACTCACATTCTGAATTTGTCAGAAATTTTCCTTTCAGTGGAGTCAGCTACAAGCTCTTTTCTCTGTCCCACTTAAACTAGCTGTTGATTGTAAACTAGTTTTTTTTTCGTTTTTTCGAGACAGGGTTTCTCTGTGTAGCTTTGTGCCTCTCCTGGAACTCACTTGGTAGCCCAGGCTGGCCTCGAACTCACAGAGATCCGCCTGGCTCTGCCTCCCGAGTGCTGGGATTAAAGGCGTGCGCCACCACCGCCCGGCCCGTAAACTAGTTTTAAAGAGTCCAAGGACAAGACTACCCGGTAAATGATGCTACGTATTTAGCTTAGTATTGCTTCTCATCAGGAGCTTCACATTGTCTAGTCCCTTTACTTCTTGATGCTATTTGATCATATGGTTGAGGGAGTTGTAGTAAGACCTGTTTCTTACCACAGTTACCAAGATATCTGTCTGGGCATGGTGGCATACTCCTTTATTCCAGTTCTTGGGAGACTGGCAGGTGGATCTTGTGAGTTCGAGGCCAGCTTGGTCTACATAGGAGTTCCAGGACAGCTAAATCTAACTAGAGAGGCCTGTTCTCCTTTAAAAAGAAAAGATAAATAAAAGACATCTGGGGCTATGGTAAATGAGCACAGTGGTGGTGCTAGTCTGTTGTCCAATCATCTTTTAAAATTTTTTATTTTATGTGTTTGGGTGTTTTACTTGCATGCATGTCTCTGCATCATATAGGCTCTTGGTGCCTGCAGAAGCCAGAAGAAGGTGTTGGATTCTTTGAAATTGGAGTTCTAGATCATCATAAGCCATTGTATGGGTGCTGGGAATCTAATCTAGTCCACTGGTAGAGCAACCAGTGCTCGTAACCACGGAGCCATCTCATCAGCTCCTACACAGTCTCTTTCCACATACAAATTATTGTAGTGTGATAATTCTTGCAAGCTCACTTCATTGTGAATTCATTGTAATAGTCTTGTGTCTGTCAATAGATGGAAATAAGATTATGAAAATTGTAAAGTATCCTGGGTAGCTGCTATATTAATTAAAATCTGATTTTGTGGATTTTTTAAGATTTTTAGTGATGTTCAAAGTATCACCTGTTATGAATTGGAAAAGAAACTTGGCTTGAGAAAAACTGGAAGAATTCAATGACTGCCTTTTCCTGTAATGAATACTTAGTAAAGAAATTTGTTTAAATTTTATGCAGTCAATATTTGTTGCACAGGAATATCCAGAAATATGGAGCTCTGGGTTGAAGAATTGTAAATTGTGGGCTGGGAGGAGCAATCTGTGTAGCTCACTGGTTGGGAAAATGCTTTGAGTGTACAGGGCCCTGGGTTTAAACCCTACTACCACCACCAAAAAAAAATAAATAAATAAAATGTGGTTTTGCACTTGACTTCTATATTCTCATTCCATAATGATTGTGTAAGTAAGCATTTGTGAATGAACTTCTGATAATGAGGCATATTAACTACATTTAGCGATGGGCCTCATTTTTATTAAGCCAGATATAAATATGTAATATAAAATCACATTTATTCTTCTTTTTTTTTTTTAAATTTATTTTTATTATATATACAGTACACATATCCCTGCAGGCCAGAAGAGGGCACCAGATCTCATTACAGATGGTTGTGAGCCACCATGTGGTTGCTGGGAATTGAACTCAAGACCTTTAGAAGAGCAAGCAGTGCTCTTAACCTCTGAGTCATCTCTCCAGCCCCACATTTATTTTTCAATGAATTTAGTATTTGATTGTTTTAATGGTTTCATAGTTAGATTTCTATAAGTAGCACATTCTTTCACTAAAATATTATTTAACTCTTGAAGCAATTTTGAAGTTTTTTACATGTATTTTTGTAGATCAAGATGGCTCATGTACACAGAAATAAAAAGCTTAACTGTTATTTTTAAAATGCTTTTGTAGTATATCTATATATCTACACACCTATACATGCATGCTTAAAAAAAAACAACTAATATAATTTTGTCTTGGATCCCTTGGATTTATTTTGAACATTGGCTGACTATGTTCCTCATGGTGGTAATCACATATTTGCATTGTGATATCTATTGATTATTGCTTTTGTTGTTACTTAACTTAGATTGTTGTTTTATTATTATTTTAAAAATTATGTATATGTGCACAGTGCAGTTCAGACCCTCTGAAGCTGGAGTACCAGGCAGTTCTGTGCCACTTGATGTGGGTGCTGGAACCAAGTCAAGTTCTCTACAAGAGTGATGCTTGCTCTCATGTCTGAGCTGTCTCTCCAGCCCCAAGACTTGCTTTATGTGTGTGTGTGTGTGTGTGTGTGTGTGTGTGTGTGTGTGTGTGTGTGTGTGTCTTTCAACACATGGGAAGCTAGGGACAGAATCTTTTTTTAGATTCCCTATTATAACTGGCAGACTGCTTTTCTTTCTTCCTTTTTGTTTTTTAATTTAGAATATTTGTACATCTTTTCTCTCTTCCCTATAAAGCATTCTGAGTACATGACCCACCTATAGTTGCTTGATTTTTTTCCCCCACTAGTCTTTTCCAGTTTATCTATATATTTTTTTTGGTTTTTCGAGACAGGGTTTCTCTGTGTAGCTTTGCGCCTTTCCTGGAACTCACTTGGTAGCCCAGGCTGGCCTCGAACTCACAGAGATCCGCCGGCCTCTGCCTCCCGAGTGCTGGGATTAAAGGCGTGCGCCACC